ATAAGTGCCGCCGCATCCCCTGGGATGCTCAGTGAGCCTCAGCGCCTCCATAGGAGGTTGTCTAGTCTCGCGCTCCGTCACCCACCGTTGCTTTCAAATCACATGCTCTTCATCTTCTGGAATTCAGGTTCCGTGGGTGACTAACCTAACTATACCATTGTCATCGTGTGCTCTGTGATCCATTTTCCTATGTCTTTCCAATATAATGATTGTTAAATGTAATAGGGGGAAGGGTAGTGTCCAAAAAGAGAAAAGCCCCCAATGTATGTTCGTCGTCTTCTAAGTAAGAGAAGTTGGTTTTGTTCATCCCTATACAGAGGAGCTCTGGTGGTGCATGGGTTAAAGTGCTTGGCTTACTAACAGCTTGGTATTTTATTATGTGATTATGTCAGAAAGTAACAGCTTGGTATTAATATCACGTGATTCGCTCTTTGGAACATTGGATCTTTCTGAATTCACAGCTGTGCATGCTAGGGCAGGCAGGGAGAAACATTAGCCATTGCTTTAGTTTGATGAGGGCCTGTCACTGGAAGAAGTATCAAGTTTGAAGATTCAAAGTACTTTCCATGGTGTAGCACAGTCGAAAAGCTCAAGACTTGCTGGTGTGTCTAAAATCAGAGACCTGCAACTTGTGAAATGCCTTTCACACACATGTGCCACATCTTTTTTTGCAGCTTCTGTTCAAATCTACAGGCTGTGTCACACAAAGTTCAACAAAGCCTTGAGCTGTGTCAGAAGCCATGCCTTGTTATCTGTCACAGCAGCAGTACCAGTGGGGGCTTTTAACAAACAGAAATTCACTTCCCTGGATTCTCCTGTCTCTGCTGACTCTGCTGACTTCTCAGTTGTGTATCTCAGCAGGGATTGGCTTCAAACACACCCTACCCTGAGATGGGCTGTTAAGAACAACAAACCCAGACCCAATGACTTGGAGGCCCGTCCACCTCCGAGTGACCCCAGAGGACAGAGCAGAGTGGCCCCATGAGGTGGCAAAGGCTGTAAATTGTTAGGAAAGCAGACTGCCACAGCACTTACCTTTCAGTTAGCAGGCCAGCGCGTTAAGCACTGAGGTGAGGCTCTGAAACACGTTCTCAATCCATCACAGGGTACTTTTGCTAAAAGAAACCATGTCCAAGTAGAATTTTCTCTCCCTAGGGTTGTTTGAGATGAAGATTCAGCTGCTGTGGTGAGAGTTCCGAAGTAGCGCTGCTTAAACGGTAGCTGGCTTGCTTCTCTCTCAGATCCGAGCTCTCGCATGCAAGCCAGGGCCATGACACAGCTCCACAGTGGGAGGGTCCCGGGTTCCTTCCCTAGTTCTGCTGACCCACCTGCAGGACGTTGCCCCATCCCCCCAGCCCAAGGTGACGCTCACCAGTGTGGGGGTCACCGTCTAGTGGGTAGAGCAGGGCTGCGTCCGAGTCTCTTCCGCTCTCAGCCAGCGGGGCGCGTCCAGAGGAGAGGCAAGCTGAGCGTGCACACTGAGGCAGCTCTCCGGGTTTGCCAGATGTGTCCGTCTGTGTCTTTCTGCGGTCCCATTCCAGCTGCTTTGTCAATTTGCCTTTAAAACCCTTTGTTCTCTGATCCAGGGTCACCAGCACTGACCACTACTTCCTCAGCGATGGCCTTTATGTCCCAGAAGGCCAGCTGGAGAACCAGAAGCCTTTGCGTCTGGATGTGATGACGGTGCAGCCACCCCCGATCAGCAGCAGTCCAGAAGGAAGGGATGGGCTGGCTTCTGCTAAGAGGCCAAAGCTGGCGCCAGACGATGTGGACCAGGCTGCCTCCCCTAATTGCAACCCGTCTTCAGGAGGACAGACAGCTGACACAGTGACACCGGACAGTGGCCAAACCTACGTGGCGTCCTCGTGCTCCTGTCACCCCGAGCACCCGCAGTGCCAGGCCAAAGTGCACCCAGGAGAGGGCCTGTACCGTGTGAAGACGGGGGACGCGTTTGTTTTAGACATTGACCTGGACTTCTTTTCAGTCAAGAATCCTTTCAAAGAAATGTTCACTCCGGTAAGCATGGCAGTTTTCCAGCCTGTTGTCGTGGTGAGCGTGTTGAACGACAGAGCGAAGCATCTGCACCACAGTCACGGTGTCAGTCCTCCTCTCTGCTGCCCGTCTCCTTAACCCGGCACGAGGGCCTCCTGCAGGGGCTGGTCTCTCTGACCCCGTGTCCGAAGGACGTGAGACGAAGCCTCGCCATCCTTGGCTCTCAGGAGCCCTCGGGCTGTACTTCTTCAAGACAGATTTGTTTGTCCTTTCAATATTTCCACGGTACTTTCCATAATCTTTGCCAGCTCCGTGATTCAAGTGCATTGATTGTCCTTAGATCTGCTGTAAGTAGCCGTTCTGATTCAACCAGAATAGCCTTTTAAAAATTAGGTAAGAAGTTGTCTGTTTATCAGAGCCCAGGCTAAGTTGTTTTCCACTTACAGCTTCTCATTGTGAAAAAAATGCATTTCTTTTCTAAGGCGAGAATTGTTTGTTTTGTTTCCAGGACGAGTACAAAATCTTACAAGAGCTGTATCAATTTAAACGGCCCGCCGCCGACCTAACCGAGGTATCTTCCCTTTGTTTCAGATATTTGGGGTGGCGCAGGGGACCACTTTCAGAAAGTTCATGGAAAACTGGAATTGGAAGAGAATGGAATTTTCTCACAAACTTTCTGCACCCTCCTTGTATTTGTCATTTCTGTAATGTAGTGAGGAGCCTGGGTGGTGTGGTGGGTTAAGCACTGGGCTGCTCACTGAGAGGTTGCTCTTTGGGAAAGATGAGGCTGTCTGCTCCCACAACGATTGACGGTTTTGAAAACCTAAGGGACAGTTCTCTTCCGCCCGGTAAGGTTGCCTTGAGTCAAAAGCAACTGGACGGCAGTGGGGGTTTCCTTTGTCCTGCTTGTTCTTTAACCTTACAGTTTATCTGAATGCTCTCCAAGGACTGTTGAGGTTCTTTGTGTTTGGGGTGTGCGTTTCTTGGCGGCAGCCAGGGCGAGCCATGGGAAATCGAGTTTTCGTGAAGTGAGCCACGATCTTCTTGGCCGTGGGCTTTGACTTGTCCCTGGAATGCCTTGGCTCTAACCGTCTAACTGCAGCTTTTGGGTGTCTCTTCAAAGGAAGAGTTGGCCAACTGTGTGGATGCTCGAATCCATCAGCTGGAAGACCTGGAAGCTACCTTTGCTGATTTGTGTGATGGCGACGATGAGGACACTGTCCGGAGGTGGGCTGCAAACCCTGGGTAAGAACCCCGGACGCTGGTCCTCGAACTCTGTCCGCTTGCAGTCTGAGGTGGCCGAGCCTGCTGGATAATGGCTTAAAGAGATTAACTCAGTGTGAAGCCTAACATGTATTTACTAACAGTCGCTAACACTGAGTGCTTACTGTGTGGCCATTAGAATTCTGGGGCGTTTACTTGCAGGGACTCAATCTTTCCTCTTAACACTATATGGTGTCAGTGTTATTGCACCCATCTTATGCCTGAGGAGACCAAGGCACATCGGTGTGGTGAGTTGTCCAAAATCATGGAGGAAGAGGGCAGGCTGTTCACCCTGGTGCCGGAGCTGCCACAGTGTCCGGAAAAACCCACAAGAGCCAGAGCTGTGGAAGCAGAAACCTACCTGCCAGAGAAGGAAACGCAAATCTTTTTCACTAACTCGTGGGACAGAAAAGTGACCAGGCTGCACCCTGTCACAGACGGACAACTTGTGAGCCCTGGGAAAACAAGGCAGTCCGTCTGTCCACTCCCGGGTCTCACTGGGTAGGAGATGCTGCGCCTCGTGTTTGGGAGGATGAAAGATGAGTGAAGTAGTGCCTGCTCTAAGGAGAGTCAGGGAATCAAGTTTCAACCCGTCAACTACAAAATATATTGTGACAAGCAAACGAAACTCAGCCTATGGCATGGTGTCGATTTTGACTCGTAGTGACCCTATAGGACAGTAGAACTGCCCCCTGTGAGTAACCAAGACTTTAAATCTTTATAGGACTAGACAGCCTCTTCTTTCTCTTAGGACGTATCTGGGGGGTTTGAACTGCTCATCTCATTGTTAGCAGCTCCACCAGGGCTCCTCACAGAGTTGTAGTAACTGACCTCTTTTTATGGCTAGCTCCGCTGCAAGTACAAGAGTTTGTTTTAGGTCTCCTCCTGATATAGGAGTCAGATCTGAGCACTAAATTCATCATCAGGTTATTTATTTGACCTGATTTGTCTGGTATTTTTTCAGTTGTAAATTACTGCTGGAAAGAGAGGCTTGCATCATGAGGAACCGTAGTGGTTTTGCATAGGTGTGCTAACCACAAGATCAGCACTTAGAAACCACCAAGCCACTCCACAGAAGAAAGGATGAGGTTTTCCAGTCCTTATAAAGATGTATGTGGTAGTTACATAATCTAGTGTCAATCTGAGGATTAAGAGTGAGTCTAGGCTGTTAATCAGAATTTGGTCAATGAGATCTGTGTGAGCATGGCCTTCCCCTAACGATTCTGGGAATTGCTGAATTTTCCTCCTTGGAGGTGGGACAATGTTTTCTCCATGTTCAATTGTTCTTGTATATAAGTCTCTTTCTTATACACTTATGTGTGTCCATGGATTTGTTTTCCTAGACTACCCAGACTCAGACAATGTACATTCTTGGAAACCCACAGGGGCAGTTCTCCTATAGGGTCACTGTGAATCAGAATGAACTCCAATAGCAGTGCGCTTGGTTTTTGGTTTGGAAGGATGTATTTGGAATTAAAGTCAACTTAAAAGAATACTCATTTTGAATAATGAAGTCACTCCTTTCTGTAAGAGTTCTTTAAGTCATGTAAATTCAAAAGGTTAGAAAACTAAACAAAAATGCTCAGATAAACTTTGGGTCCCTGTAGAAAGCATAGGAAAAGTGGAACTAGTTTGTTTTAATATTGATCCTCTGCAGACTGTGAAATTATTCTCTATGGTGTGAGTACAAAGAGCCAGTCATTAAGACAGGAACCTCAGAATGGGGAGTTGGAACATTGAGGCCCCGAACATAAACAGCTACTATGATTTGTCATTTTATGGTTATTAGAAGTAATTCTTCAGATCTCCGGAGAAATCTGGAACAGGTTAGCACAGCGGTTGCCTCTGGGCAGAGGGATTACACCGGAGGGTGGGAGGAATGACTTCCAATGCCAAAGCGAACAAAGCTTGTGCCACTTATAGGGGGAAAGCGGGATTGTGGAAAGATGCTGAAAATGGGCACCTTCCTGGGACATCCCAGTCTGGCCAACTTCAGATTTAAGTATAGCAAGGGGAAAATGCCTCTGTTCTGCTGGTGGTTGGTGCTCTCTTGCTACGTGTGTGTATCGATGAGTTTTGTTTTGTTACACAGCATGGAGTCGGTTCCAACTCATAGTGACCTGGGAGTTAGCAGTCCTGATGCCCCATTCTGCAAACTGTCCTGAGTCTCAGAGTATTTGCTCAACATACAGACTGAATAAGTGTAGTGAAAGGGTACAACCCTGATTGCACCCCTTTCCTGAATTATCCCCTAGTTCTGGTCAAATAGCTGTCTCGGTTCACGTGTAGGTTCCACGTGAGCACAATTAAGTGTTCTAGAATTCACATTCTCCTGAATGATCCACTTAGTCAAACACTGTTGCATAGTTAATAAAACACAAGTTATTATCTATCTGGTATTCTCTGCTTTAGCTCAGCTCCATCTGACATCAGCATTGATAGCTCTCAGTTGATGCCATCTTCTGAATCCAACTTGAATGTCTGAGAGTTCCCAGTTGATATACTAATGCAACCAATTTTTCATTATCTCCAGCATAATTTTACTTCTGTGTTGCTAAAGATACTGTTAGGCAATTATAGCATCCAGTTGGATCACCTTTCTTTGGAATGGGCACAGTTATGGTTCTCTTCAAGTTAGTTTGCCAAGGAACTCGAAGGGTGGCATTTGGAACCCACCAACCACTTCGCGGGAGAAGTTCCCATAAACATTAGCACCATAGAAACCTTGGGGCTCTTTTCTGTCCTATAGGGTCAGTTTGGTTTGGAACCATCTTGATGGTAACGTGGGATCGGGCAGTCAAGTGACCGGGTGGCTGACTTCCACATTCCTGGTAGGCACAAGGGAACACTTGGCAGTGCCGCATCCCTTGTCAAAACATCTCATTCGGTCTTCTGCCCGTTCCTGGAACCTTGCTTTTTGTCAAAGCCTACAGTGGAGCGTGGACTCATTCTTCAATACATTAGTTATTGATCAGAGCTGCCTCCTAAAGTGCTGAGACATCTTCCCATTCCTTTAGGTGCAGTGACTGCATATCCCTTTCATCTTCTCCTGATCGCGCATCCACAACTTCTCGCCCACAGCACCCTCTAATATTACAATTTGAAGCTTGATTTTTTTTTTCCCCTTTAGCTTGAGAAATGCTGAGCTGTGGGTTTCCTAACTCTGGGTGTGTGCACATTCCCGGTGTGCCATTAGTGGTGTGTATGAAATTTGAATGACAGCCACCGCCATTGGTCTTCTTTACAGGCATATGCTCCTTACCCTGTCCCTGAGGACGTTGTATTTCAGGATCGCCCTTGAAAGGGCCTTTTAGACAGTGTACTTGACATGGCTCATCCTCAGTTTGTCATTCCTGGCATTAAGTAGACCATCCAAGCCCCTTTGTTTGGTTGCCCAAATCCAGATGGCCAAGCCGGGTCTGTCTCAGCTCCTGATACCTAGGATGTCTGTCTTTATGAGCTGTATTTCATGTTTGACAGCTTCCTCTTTTCCTTGACTCATGCCTCTATGTGTGTGTCTATTTGCTGTGTAAAACATTGATGTTAATTTTTACTTACAGATATTCAGAAAAGAAATACATCTTTAAAAATGAAATGGTCAGGAACATTCCTCAAAGTAAAAATCTTAAAGCTTCGATTAGTCTCACTCAGGAAAGCAGTGGTGTGGAAGAACGGTCCCTGAGGGTCTGATATCAGTCACATGAGTAAATGCTGACCAAGCACCTCGTTAACATGTTTTCTTCAGTGTCAGGGGCTAGTCCGAGAAGTAATTCCACGCTTCATGAAATTAGGACGAAGACAGAAATACAGAGAAGACTCCTGACACGAGTCTTCCTAGAAATGTTGGGAAGTACCTCGAACCCAAACCACACTCACTGCCATCGAGTCGATTCCAACTCGTAGCAACCATGGGGGACAGGGTAACGCGCCCGTGCGTTCCGAGACTCGCTCTTCACGGAAGGAGAAAGCCCCGACTGCCTTCTCCAAGCGGCTGGACCTTTCGAACCGTGCTGACCTTGGGGTTAGCAGCCCAGCCTGTAACCACTAGACCACCAGGGTTTCTTGGTGGAAAGTACCTGCTTTTCGTAATTTTACAAAGTGTCGGACCTTGCTTAAAACTCAAATAATAAATGAACATGCCTGGAAACCGAAACTAATAAGTTAACATACCTGGAAACCTAAAGGGAGCCCTGGTTGCTCAGTAGTTAAAGTGCTTAGCCACTAACCAGAAGGTTGGGGGTTTTAGCCCACTAGCCACTCTGAAAGAGAAAGATGTGGCAGTCTGGGCCCAGATTACAGTCTTGGAAACCCTATAGGGCCCTTCTGCTCTGTCTTGTAGGGTAGCTCCCAATCAGAATTAACTGCAAGGCCATAGACTCGGTTTGGTTGGAAATCTTAGAGTCATGAATGTAGCCCAATAACGGGGTCACCTTCCACTGACCCTCCCAGTTAGCGCTTCTTTACCGCATGGTGTTCCTCCCAGAGGGAGTGTAGCCTGTGGTCCAGGGGTGGGGTGGCACAAAGGGACAATGGGTACAGAGTCGTCTCAGGGTCACCCTGCCCCTAAGGATCAGCCTCACTGCAGGGAACGCTTCCCTTTCAAGGAAACGGAAGAGGCGAGTGATTTAGGGGGGGAAATCCAGATAATATTTTGGAGTAATAGGGTGAATGGTTAATGGTTAAACCAGCCCCTGGGCCGCCTCCTTTCTTTTCCCCTCTAGCCACTCAGTGACGTTGGAGGGAGGGATTGGGAGAGGTGTGACAATGCCAGAAACAGTAATGGAGCAGAGCTTCCAGAGAGTCCTAGCTAAATTAAAGGATGTAGACGTTAAAAGCACACTGTTGATAAACAGAGGAGCTTCAAAAAGTATGTGGAAAATTCCATTATCTTAAGTTCCGTTTTGCTATGAGCTTTTGGAAGCCCCTGTACTTTTAAGCGTACAGATCCATACGTGTGTCGTTTACCTGGGGGAAAGCGTACAATTTTTCAGCCGTGAATTAAAATAACCTCGTTTTCCTGAAGATCAAAACTCCTTTTTCAAGTGTCAGTGCTGTCTATGAAGACAGTTGCATCTTGGGTGTGAGAACACAGGAGGGAACATTTGTTTCCTAATGTTGTAGAGTAATATTTGGTGGTCAGCTTTCTCTTTTGGTTCGCAAGCATCATCTGAAACATACTGTTCGTAGTAAACTTCGCGGCGGGCGTTCGCCGCGGTGTTTCCATGGAGATGCCTGTGTTGTTTAATTGAGCGCCTGTGGCTTGTTTTCCAGAATGGAGTCACTCGCTCCTCTTGTACAGAGTTTGAAAAGGCGGATGGAGGTGCCCGACTACGAAATGGTAAATATTTTATCCTGAACTATAAAACTGGCCCTTTATACATTTTCTGGGTAGAAAGTGGTGCTCTGTGTGATAATGGCTCATGTTTACTTTGTCCCTGGGAAGTCTAGACGAATGATGGATGGAAGAAACAAGTCTAAAAAAAAGGTGTGCTTGCTCAGTCAGCACATTGGAGAAGTCTTTTCATGTCAGCTATTCTTTCCCCTGTTCTCTGCCTGAGGCTGAAGCGCAGCCTTGGGGCGTGGGGGTGGGGACAGGGTAGGGGGCGGGCCCTGGGTCTGTGATCAGATCTCTCCTCAACACAGAGGGAAGCTCAAGCCTCATGGCTCTCAGGGCTCTTCGGGCACAGTGACAGGCCCTGGCTGGTTTCTGAGACCGGAGCCTTCCACGGCAGGAGCAAACCCCACCTTTCCCTCACGCGTGGGGGGGGCAGTCAGCAGCCCAAAGCCCAGCCCATTGTGCTAGCAGCGCTCATCACCACAGCAGAGAGAGCATGTTCCTTCTACAGAGGTCCACTTTCCCTACAGAACATAGAATACACCCACCTAGAAGTGTGTGTGTGTGTGTGTGTGTACATGTTCATGTACATATACTCCCTGCTAATGCCTTTTGGAAATGTTTTGGCTGGAAAACCAAGAAGAGCACGGCAGAGCGCTGTGGT